TGCCTCTGACCATCATTTTTCTCATCCGTGGGATGAAACTGTCCCCACCTTCACAGGCTTGTTGGGAGACCAAAGGAGATTTTGTGTGTAAGTGCAGGTCTTGGGTACGATGCCTCCTCTTTCTGTGCACAGAGTGGATGGAGCTGGAGATGTTTCTAGAAGGCCGATTCCTTCCAGATCTGATACTTTGATAGGCAAGTGAAACATTCTGTGACTCAGTCTGTGGTCTTGATAATCTCCCACATTGGAGTGTGACTCAGAAAACTCAAGTAGGACTAAGTGGAAGCCCCCAAGCACGGCCTGAACGGAGTACCTGACCCTGAAAAACTGTTGCGGGAGTCACCATGGTGTGAGACCCACCTGAACTGAGAGCACTTCTGACTCCCGGGTCTGGCTACACGTTTCTAGAAAAGCACTTTCTCAGCCAGTAGTATGAAGAGTTGGTACGCAGACAAGCTCCACTAGGCTGGGCTTGCCCTGACCTGACCCCACGACCCCTCTCCATGTTGCAGAGAAAATGGCCCTTGGTTAGGTGAGGGTGGTCAGGAATGGGAAGAGCGGGCGGGGCTTGGGAAAAGCCGTGAGACCAGGATTTCAGTGTGGCCCTATCCTTCTCCCAGCTCCTCAGCTCACACTGTCTTGCAGCTTTCCTTCCCTTACCCTGCTCCTGGAACACGGAGGAAAGCAATTCACCTAAGGGAATTTGCATTTTACACCTTGTCTCTAACTTACAGGGAACCCCAGCACCCTGGGCACCGCAGCCCCACCAGTGCTCAGGGTCAGGCTTGACAGCCACACAAAGGGAATTGGAGACTCGCTGAAGCCAATCCAAGTCATTCCTTCAGCAAATACTTTGTTAGCATCTACAGCAGGTCCTCAAATAACATCATTTTGTTATAAGGTTGATGAGATGCTCTAGGATCTTAATTCTTGTTTATATTAATTAGCCAATAGTAAAATGGATTTCTACACCCAAATTTTCTTAAAGTTCAAGAATATATTCACATCATTAAGTGAGGACTGACTGAAGTCTGGGCTGTGGGAACAAACCCTACAGCCTAAAGGGGAGATAGAAAAAGCACAAGAAAACATAAAATTAAGTGCCAACTGTGTGTTAAGTGCTGTGAAGGAAGCGGGGACTGAGGAGGATGAAAGGGTAGAGGATGATTTTAGGCGGGAGGAGGGTGAGACCAGAGGACGAATAGGAGCCCATGCTGGGAAAAGCAGAGTTTGGGGACTGCTTTCTCTGCAGAGAGGTATCTATAGGGTTGAAGTCTAATTTAAGGCAGATCTTTCAGTGTGGAAGATCTGATTGGAACTGGGTTCAATTTGTGAGATAACAGTTTAGGATTGGAGGACACAGTGAGGGAGGGTCTTGAAAAAATAAACAATAAGCTAGTGGTTTGCCAGGTTAAGCAAACAATTCTCCCAAGGAGGGGGTGTTTGAGCAGTCTATTGTTCAGATAAATTGATTTTCAGGAAGTTTCTGAAGCAAATAATGATGTTATTTACTGGTTTACAGTCTTATCTTCCTGGACAAGAAATTTCTGGAACAAATATTAAAGTCATGTTGATATAAACATGGTTAAATTATGTGGCTGCAGGTGTCTCAGCTCTGAGAAGCAGTGAGGCTGTGCTAGTCTGGCTAAGAGATGGTGGCCTGGGCTACCTGGGGGACAGTGACAACAGAGGACAGATTGGGATATATTTTTGGAGATAGATCAACAGCATTGATTTGATTTGATGGGAAAGGAGGAATCGAGAATGACTTTTCGGTTTCAGGCCTCAGACACTGGGCAGCTGGTAGGACCACTTACCGAGGTGGGGCAGGTAGGGCAGTGCATTAGCAGGCTTGGGAGCAGTGGCTAAGTGTTCAGTTTTGAACATGTCGAAGTTAAGGGTGTCTGTGAGATAGATGTCAAGTATGTGGTTGGGTACATGAGTCCGAAGTGCATTAAACAGATTTAATGCACCTGGAGATTTAAATAAAAAATTGGGAGAATCATCAGCACATACTTGTTATTTGAAACTATGGAAATAAATAAAATTTCACCTACAGAAAGAAAGGAAATGCAGCATAGGAGAGAACCCATATAAAACAGCCACTGGAGACAAGAATAAAAATAAGGGAGCTGAGGAAGGGCAATCAGTGAGGTCAGAATAAATTGAGGGGAGTGTGAAGTCACAGAGTGAGTGTTTCAAGGAGAAAGTGGTTGGCTGGTTGAATGGCTGGGAAATGGTATGATAGCATAGAAAGACCTAGAATCTTCAGAGTCAGAGAACTTTCTCCCATCGCTTACTAGTTATGACCTTGAGCTTCATTTTCCTCATCTCTAAAATGGGGATAATGATACCAACCCCCAGAATTAGGCTAAGGTACAAGTAGATTCTGTATGTGAAAGTAGCACCAGGCATAAGGCATAGTAGGCAGATAGTTAAAAATATCTCAGTTTAGCCCTGGCCGGGTGGCCCAATTGATTGGAGTGTCATCGCTTATATCAAAAAGGCTGCAAGTTCGATTCCCTGTCAGGGCACATACATAGGTTGTAGGTTCAGTCCCAGTTGGGGGCTGCATACAGGAGGCAGCAAATAGATGTTTCTCACATCAGCATCTCCCCACTGCCCCCACACCTCCCTAAAATCAATGAACATATCCTTGGGTGAGGCTTTAAAAAAAATCTCAATTTAGTGGCAACAACTGGGAAGAGCAGATACCTACGCAGTGAAATATAGTGGAGAGGACAGCCCACCCCCATCCCTCTATTCTTTCTCTCTGTCAGCTGTGGCTAAGGACAGCTACAGGTAGGGACTCATAATGAAGCTGTCCACTGAAGCTTGATCAGGAGTCAGAGAAAACGTCCAGGTATATGGCAAACAGAGGCATGTTGGCTGGTGGCATCAGGGCAACTCTCATGGTTTCTTTTTTCTTTCCTATTTTTATTTTTTATTGAATCATTGGGGTGACACTGGCTAACAAAAATTATACAGGTTTCAAGTGCCCAATTCTATAAAACATCATCTGTACACTGTACTGTGTGTTTACCACCCCAAGTCAAGTCCCTGTCCATCACCATTTATCCCCCCTGTACTCTCCTCCACCAACTCCCTGTCCCACCGCACCCTGCCACCAGCCATAATCACCATGCTGTTGTCTGTGTCCACGAGTTCTTTTTCCTTTTCTGTTCAATACCTCCGCCTACCCCCCATCATGGTTTCTGAAATGGCTTCATCCACAGTTATCCAAAAGCCAGACTGTGAAGTGTTAATATTGATTTCTCTTACCTTTTTGCCTTGATCTGTTTCCTCCTTTCCGTCTTCCCCACCCCTAGCTTAGCTCAGGCCTGCATCAGTTTATTGCCATTGTCTGGTCACTGGCCTTCCTGCCTCCAACTAGAATGCTCTCAGCAGAAGCCCTGCTTAGGATCTCTCACAGACTTCCCATTCCCTTCAATCAATGAACTCAACAAGCATTTTTCAAGAGCCTGCTCTTTGCCAACCTCTGCCGTCATGGAGCTTACTGTCCAGTGGAGAGAGACAGACAAATGAAGTCTTTTCATATCTACATCTACAGGCTTTTGGAGCCCTTGCTCGGATAGGGTACCTGAACCAGAGTAGCCTGTCAAGAAAAGCTCCAGAAGAGTTGATATCTATGCTGAGAACTAAAAAGGAATAGAAAGAGTTAGCCAAGGAAGTCTCTGGGGAATGATGACATCCTACACCCTTAAAAGGTTTAGCCCTGACCAGTGTGGGTCAGTTGGTTGGGCCTCTTGCTGCAGTATGAAGGGTTGCCAGTTCCATTCCCAGTCAGGGCACATGCCTGGGTTGCATGTTCTGCACACATACAAGAGGCAATAGATTGCTCTTTCTCTCTCACATCGATTTTCCTCTCTCTCTCTTCCTCCCTCCCTTCCCCTCTCTCTAAAAATAAATATTTTATTTACATTCTATTGTATCTCTTCCATTACCATTTATTCCCTTTACACCTTCTCCCACCTCCACCCACCCCCAATAAATAAAATCTTAAGAAAAAGGTCTCTGTACCCAACTGACCATCACCTGCTGAGAGCCTGGTCCCCTACACTGTGGGCACATTATTTGCAGTTCCACGATTGCCACTCCTTTAACCTCCTCGACTCCTATAGGTCCTTCCAAGACCCACTTCACCTGATGCCTTCTCCAAATGACCACACCCTTGTGCCTTTGGTGGACCCCATACCCCTTGTATTTGCCTGATCTCAGGACTCTTAAAAAATCCTGGCCAGGAGATACAGTTATTGATTTTAGAGAGAGAGGGAGGGAGAAAGAGAAAAACGTTGATTGGTTGCCTCCCTAGGAGCTCCCACTGGGGACCGAACCTGCAAACCAGGTATGCGCCCTGAACGAGAATTGAACCTGTGAACTTTTTGTGCACTGGAGAAGGATGCTCCAACTAAAGGACCTCAGCACTCTTGCACTTCACTGTAATTGTATGTTCACTCTTCTGTCTCCTTCACAGAGTGGGAATCTGGAAAGGGCAGGGCACCCTTCTGTGTAGAACAGATGGGGGGGGGGGGAGAACTTGTTTGCCAGTGAAAAAAGGCAAGATTAGGGACTGGTCTGAAACATCAGGAAGCTGTCTAGCTGCAGGTGGGATCAGGTTCCTAAGAGAGGTTTTGAAATGGGGGTTTTAAAAACCCTAAATCGAGCTTATCTGACTGAAGGGGTTAGGAGGCTGGGAGTTGGATAGACTTCTTGAGTCTTGCCCTAAGGAGCCGAGTCTCTCTAGAGACTCTTATTCCTGGGCAGTGGGAGTGGGCAGAATCCACGTCTTTATTCTCTCCACCCCCACCCACCCCCACCACTCAGGAGCCTCAGCTCTCCCCTTTCCACCAGAGGTTTCCAGCTGTTGATGCCAGGATGGACCTGGCTGCAGGGAGGAGGAGGGAACTCTCTGTCCCTCCCTCCTCCTCCATCTCCCCACCCTTTCTCCCTCCTCCTCCCCCTGCCCTCTCTGTCTCCCTCCCTCTTTTCTCCTCTGAGGCTGGGGAGTCGTCTCGCAGCCTCGAGCAGTGAGCGCCCGGCTCCCACTCCCGGCTTGGAACTGAAGTGTGTGAGTGCCGGGACCTGGCATCCGCCCCGGAGCGGCGGCCGGGTCTGAAGCCCTGTGCAGCGGTCAGTCGCAGAGGCCCGGATCCGGACCGAGCAGGGGCGCGGAGCCGAGCCAGGGAGCCGGAGAGCGGGTCGGAGGGCCGGCGCCTTGTCCGTGCGAGTCCTGGGCAGGACCGAGGAAGGCAGGGAGACGGCCGCGGCAGAGGGCAGAGGGTAGAGGGCAGAGGGCAGAGGGCGGAGAGCGGCCTGGCTCGCGGAGGGCTCCGCCCGGGACTGCCGCGCGTTGCTGGGCGCTCACCCGGTCGGCCCGGAGTCCGGACCCAGTCCCTGGCCGACGGTGGGGGGCGTGCCCCTCCCCGCCCAGCTCCCGAGAGCTGCGTGGCGGGGCATGTGAGCGGGAAGCCGGGACCGCCAGTGCGAGGCCGGCCAGAGGATCAGTCGGATCGTGGAGCCGCGAACCCAGAGCCCAGCGCTCCGCTGAGTAGTAAGTGCTCCCCTTCGCGTCTCCTCCCCGCCCTCAGAAGTTTGACACTCGCGCCCCCACGATTCCAGGCACAAGCCAGCTCTCCTCTCTGCTAGTTTCCATCCTTTGCAAAGTTTTCCGAGGAAGGACGGACCCCCACCTGACCCCAGGAACGCTGGCCGGCTGGGGCTCCTCGTGGGTAGAGGCAGGATCCTTGTGGAGAGGGGTAGCCGTCCTGGTGGGGCTGTGGGTGGCTGCGGGTGTCCGCGCCTGTGCGCCCGGCGCGGACCGAGCTGACGGGGTCCCCACGCCCGCTCCTCGCCGGGCGAGGACACAAGGTCTTTCACATTCTCCCATTTCAAGGATTCCCCAGCGGGAAGCCAAAGCAACCTGTGCGCACCCCAGGTGGTACTCGGGGGCCTGCCTTGAGACTGAGATCCCCCCAAACCCCGCCCTGGTGTGTGGGGTGCGGGGCTCCAGCCAAAGCCACCCTTACTACCCCCTCCAGGTCGGTTCCCCTACCGACCAGCCGGGCGCTGCATCCTGTTTGTTTTCTGCTCCGGCTGCTCCCGTCTCACCCCCTCCCACCTTCCACCTAGTCTTCTAATGACCCCCACCTCCCGCCTGGGATGGCGGAGGTGAACCTTTTCATCCAGATTTCGCCGAAAGAGCAAATCGTGCCTGGGGGTAGAGAGGTGGGGGGCGGGGGGCTAGTCGCTCTGTTCCCAGCGGTTCGCCATTGTTTTCCCACGTCGCTCGTTCCATACGTAAACACACACACAGTGCTTCTTACATACACACTCACACTCATTCACTCACTCACTCTGCTTCACACACACACGCACGCACATACTGCTTCAAGTCCGGAGACGCGCGGGGATTGCCCGCGGGGTCTCCAGCTGCCAGACCCAGCCGGGCAGCTGCTCCATTACTTCACTGGATCTGGAGGTTGGGGGTTGGCGGGATGTGGGGGTGGCCCGAGAGTCCCGGGCGGGGCCGCGGCGAGCTGTCCTTGGGCGGGAAGTGAATTTTGAACTTCAGCCCCGGACCTTTCCGGGAGGACCCCAGCGCACGAGCGGCGACTCCCGCCCTGGAGGGTGGACGGCAGCTGCAAGGACTCCAGCGGCGCTGTAGGCAGCCGCCCACGCCACAGGGGGCTAGGAGGAAGCAGGGGAGTTTTCCTGGGAAGTTTGCTTTGACTGTGGGAATTTCCGGGCAGGGCACCTCGGTGCTGGTCAAGGGGTTTGGCGAAAGACAGAAGATGCTGCCGCTCTGGGACGGGTTTTCCAGGGACTCTGGCTTCCACTGGGCGTCCTGAGGCAGCGGTGCTCCACGTGCTGGGATTCAACACATCTTGGTCCTAATTTCCCACCAACGTGAGCTCTGGCGAGTGCTTTGACTTTTCTACATTTTCCCTTATGCAAAATGGGCAGTTATGCACATGTCTTTGAAACTGGTACCTAATAATTAGTTAAGTGACAGTGGTTGGGAATACAGGAACTCCAGGAGGGTAGGGACCCCTCCAACAGGACCACTGAAAGCCAAATATAACTTGGTCGGTAAGAGCCCAGCCAGTGGAGTTTGATCCTAGGGATCACCACTGGCAATATTATCTTGAGTAATTTACCCTTACTGGTCTGTGCCTCAATTTGCACATCTTTAAAATGGGTTTAATATGAACAGTACCTCCCTCATAGAGTTGTCTTGAGGATTAAAGTCTTAGTAAAGTGAAAGTTGCAGAACAGTGCTTGGCGTACAGAAATGTTAGCTGTTCTTGTTATTATTACTACCGTGACCTTGTACAGAGTTCAGAAGAGCACTTAGGGATTGTGCACATTTCATCAATTATAGTAATTGTCCACTTCTGGGAAGGAAGAAACCTCACATTTCCCATCCTTTCTTGTTTTCGGCTTGTTAAATCCTCCCTATGCCTTGTCTGGTTCCATCTTGTTAAGTCTTTTATCTTTATTGCCCCTCTTCCTTCCTTTCTCCCTCTCTTCCTTCATATATTTTGTGAAAGTCACTTCATTCCCTCTTTTAAAAAAAAAAATCAATCTTGGCCCTACTGCAGTGTTCTCGGTGGAAATCGGGCCCCAGGTAGGAAGTGTCTCCACAGGGTGTCCCCTGAGTACAGGGCACGGGCTGCTGGCTCGTGGATTGGATGTGCTTTTGTGTCTCCGGGGTTTCGCCAAATTCTGAAGAAAGGAGCACAGGTACCTCAGGCCCCAGGGAAGAGTCAGGTGGTAGGTCAGGCTGTTCTGGAGAAGGCAGCTCTGTGTTGCCTGTTGCAGGTGCTCACTTGGGAACTTGGAATAGCCCAGCTGCCTGGGTAGAATGGATATGGGATTTGGGGTATATGATGGGCCACAGTCTCACCTCCAACTTCCCACTTCCATGTAGAGTATCTGCTAGGAATTTGGGTTTATCACAGCTCCTTATCTGGTTCTGGGCTCTGAACTGGGTGATGGCCTGGGGGTGTGGTGGGGGGGTGGGGAAGAGCAGGTTGCTACTGGCCACCCACTGTCTCATACAATGGGCTCCTCTCCTTTCTCTGACTGAGCCTCTAACTTCCACCCCAGGCATGAAGGAGGATGGTCCGGAGGTTGGTTCTTGGTGCTTGGAGATCCTGCAAGTGTGCATTTAGTGATGAGAACCAGCCAATTCAGTCACCTGCATTAATTCCTTTAACACATTTTTGAACACCTATATGTGCCGGCGGGGCTTCAGGGGTACTTCTTTCTAGTCAGAGGCAACAGGCAATGAGTAACTTGAAATAAGTAACCAGGACAATATTAGAACCTTTGTGATAGGAAAGAAATACATGAAATATATTAAAGAAACATAACAGGGTAATATATTGAACATATGTGTGGGGAGGAGGCAGGGGTGACCCAAATTGAGAGGCCAGTGAAAGCCGACCTGGGGAGAGGAGAGCTCAGTGAGGCCTGAAGGATGAAAAGTAGCCAGTGGCACAAAACTTTGAAGAAAGTCCAGCAAGTGAAAGAAATTGCCAAGGTGGTCCTGGCTGGGTTCTCTGTTGATTAGAGCATTGTCCTAATACAACAAAGTTGCTAGTTCGATCCCTGGTCGAGGTGAATACATGAAGCAACCAATGAATGCTTGAATTAGTGGAAAAACAAATCGATGTTTTTCTCTTTCTCTCTTCTTCCTCCCTTTCCTGAAATCAATACATTTAAAAATTTGTTAAAAACAAAAATTGTCGAAGCCAGAACCGGGTCTGCAGCAGCAGTGTGGCTGGAGGGGAGACTGGAGAAATCTGAGAAGGGCGGAGCCTGGTCACGGCGGCCCAGCAGGCCCGAGCACGGAGGAGCCTGGGTTTGATGGCCAGGACAATGAGAAGCCATTGGAGAGTTTTAAGTAGGGGAGTGACGTGATCTGATTTATGGTTTTAATAGATTATTTGGTGCACAAGATGTGGTAATCAGAGTTGCCCCAGGGAATGAAGATGGTGCTTGAGGGGTGGGGTGGAGGCTTAGATGGAGTTTTCGCTGCAGACTCCGGTGTCCTTTAAAGACCGGTGCCGTGTGCACCCACCAACCGTACCAAATCCCCTGAACCTCAGAGCAAACTCGCAGTTAAAAAAGAACAGCTTATAACCTGGAAACTGCATGATGAAAGTGTAAAGAGTGATATGAAACTATATAGTTACAGTTTCAGTTTTGCAGAGGTAGTTCTGTGTACCCGCACCTATCGTGCACACATAGAAAGAAAACTGAAAGGCTGCCTGTCTGCAGAGGTAAATTCTACATACCGGGCATAATGGTGAGTTTTACTTCCTTTTGTGTCTTCTGTTGATTTTCCCAATCTTATACAGTGGTCCCGAACTGCTTTTATAAGTGGAAAAAATGTAAAAAAAACACATTGCTTCAACTGCCAAGTAGAGGACAGTTCGAAGGTGAGCGAGGATAGAAGCAGAGGCCGGCTAGGAAGGAGCCTGACTCTGAGTTGAGATGACGCCTTGGGTTAGGGTGGGCCAGCAGGAGCTTGTTCTGGAGGTAGAGCCAACAGGTCTCCCTGACACACCACTGCCTGACATTATGCTCTGTTCTTGCCTAGAGAAGGCATTCACCCCCACTCAGACTTTGTAGTCAGGACTGTGGGAATAGTGATAGTGAAGGACCATTTCCAGTGCTGCCTTGGCTTTAGAAGTGTTTCAGGTGTCAGCTACGTCCTTAGCCCCATTTTAACTCCTAGTAGGGTGTGGGGGTAGGGGCCCCTCTTGAATATTTCACTACTTTGGTAATTAGCAAATTTAGGGCAACTGATGTATAAAGTGAGAAGGATTTAGAGCTGGGTGGGGCATATGCAGTACAGAACATCTCTGAGCTTCTGCTTTCCTGTCGGCGAAATGGGACAGTACCAATGGGAAGTCCTGCCTCTTCCAACTTAAAGGCTCATGTCAGCTCTTGGCTCAAGGGTGCAGTAGGCCTCCATGAATGGTAAGGGTCTGGGATTTGCTGTTGCCAGATAAGTGTGTGTTTGGGCTGCACTCAGCTCTGTAAAGGTTTTGTCCTCTCTGGGGGGCCTTTGAGATTGGCCCTTTTTGGGCAGAGCCCTGAGGAGGTCTGGGAAGCCAGGAAGGTGAATTCAAACGCAGCTGTGCCTGTGTGCCCCTCCCCCACCTGCATTCAGGGGTGAAGCTGAGTGTTTGCAAAGGACTGTGCTGGGAAGGCTGGGCCATGCCCACAGTAAATCGTGCTTTGAATGGGAATTATTTTTGTGCTCAGTGTTTGCTTAAGAGGGCTCACTCCTGCCGGAACTAGCTGTGATCCTTACCTTTCACTGATCCCCTTCCTGGAACTGGGATGTGCTACCCGGGTAGGCCAGGTAGACCGTCACAGTGCCAGTTACTAGGAGGGAACCAGAGCCTGTGAAGACCACTTTCATGAGTCCTGCAACCTCTGTTCCAAACAGGAAGACATGCCCTGGGGTGGGAGTCTTTGCTGGGGCAACCCCATTTTGATCGGTGTTTCTTCTAGCCCCGTGGAAAGACCTAATTG